AGGGCAAGCGCAAAAATCCAAGTGGGAATGACTGGAGCAAGAGAGTGAGGAGGGGGAGGGAGGTAGGGAACCCAGTGGTGAGGAGGGAGGGCAGACCTTTGTAAGGGCTTTCATTATTCAAAGTGAACCGGAAACCACACAAGTTTCTGTTCCCAGGACAGAGGGACGTGATCCGACCTGGGTGTGAACCAGCTCACTCCGGCCGGGCCTGTTGAGCTGAGGAGAGACTTCAGGGGGCACAGGCAGAAGCAGGGAGACCAGATGGGTGGCTACCATGATGATCCTGGCCCGGGGGATGGGGGCTGGGGCCTGGTGGTGAGATGCGGTCAGATTCTGAATGTGTTTTGAAGGAGGAGCTTATTGGATGTTAGTGTGAGGGAAACAGAGAAATCCATAATAACTACAAGATTTTTGCCCCAAGCAACTGAAAGGATAGAGTTGTCATTAATAGATGTGGAGAAGCAAGCTTGGTTTTGGAGGAGTAAAATTTGCCACTTGCCCCAGGAATGAAAGCCAGTGTCTTTAGCACCGGACCCTGCTGTAAGCCTCTCCCTCAGGCTTCTTCAATGTGTGTGTGTGTGTGTGTGTGTGTGTGTGTGTGTGTTGTGGGGGTGGGGGGAGCAGGCCGTTTTTATGAAGCTCACAGGGATCTGCAACAAGGATAAGCCAGGATAAGGGCCCAATTCTGCCGCTGAGCAGACTGAGCTTTGAATTCAACATGTGACCTGGCTTTGAATCCCTGCTTGCTATGTGACCCTGCGCAGGTTACTTACCTTCTCTGAGCTGGTTTTTCTCAGGTATGAAATGGGGTGGTATGGAGAGGTAGCATAGCTGAGTGTGGCTGGACAGAAAACAGACATTTCTGCCACATTTAGAAAATAAGGGAGGTACCCAGCTGCCTGTCACAGGAGGTATGGGGCAGAGGCTGGATGTGCACGTGGTGCGGGAGGGTTACCTCGCTAATCAAACCTGACCGTCACTGCTTACTTAAGAGACAGCTGGCTGGGCTGAGGTCTGCGTTTATTATCTGACCCATTAGCCCTAAGCCTGCTGAGTAAGAATTCAAATGTCAGCTGCTATCACCTCATTTAATCTTCACAATAACTCTCAGAGGTAGGGGCTGGTGCCACTGTAATTCCCAATTCCCATTTTAGAAATGAGGAAACTGAGGCAGAGAGAGCTAAAGTAGTTTGTCCAAGGTCACTGAACTGGTATGCAGTAGAGTCCATGCACAGGTGGTCTGAATTCAGCGTCCATTTTCTGTTGGTTATAACCTCAGTGTGTGACCTTGGACTAGGCCTGTGTCCAACTCAGGGCCTCGATTTTCTTGTCTGTATCACAGAAGAGTACTAGTGGCGCAATGATCAAGTGCTCAGCTGCTAACGGTAAGGTTGGCAGTTCAAACCGCCAGCTGCTCTCAGGAAGAAAGATGTGGTAGTCTCCTTCTGTAAAAATGACAGCCTTGGGAACCCTCTGGGGCAGTTCTGCTCTGTCCTATAGGGTCACTGTGAGTCAGAATTGACTTGATGGCAACGAATTTGTTTTTGTTTTTGTTTTACCACAAAATATTCCAGCTGACCGCCAGCACTAACTGCCAGCCATGTGAATGTGCCATCTTGGATGTCGAGCTCCCTGATCACTGCAGCCCACCGACATCACGTGGGGCAGAAGAACCACCCAGCTGGGCCCAGGCACCCATAGAATCATGAGGTATAAGAAAACGGGATTTATTTTAAGCCACTATGTTTTAGGGTGGTTTGTTATGCGACAATAGAGAAATAAAACAACATCCAGCAACAAACATTTATTGAATGCTGGCTGTGTACCAGGTATTGTACCAGACCTTGGAAGAGGCGCCTGCATTTCTGTTGTCTGCTGTCAGGGCCTGCAAGGAGCCTTTAACTTCCTCCCCCTGCAGTCTGAACCAACAGGCCTGGGCGAGAGGATGCAGCCCCAGGGGTTGTCTCTTCAGAGACGGCATCAAGGGCAAGGACAATGCTCTCGTAGCTGGGTGGAGGCCAGGGGGGCTGGGTACCAAGCGGGGCATCCCCTGAGGTACTGCACTTCAGGTCTTCCTCTGTGGAGTATGCAGGTGGTGCTGGGGGCACCTCGGCCGCGGTCAGTGAGCAGCACACAGCCTCCTCGTAAGTGGGAATGGCAACCACCTTTGGTGTCCTATAGGAGCAGGAGAAGACAAGCTGTCAGCAGGGGCTAAGGCAAAAACCTACTGCGTGCCAGGGGAGTGAGGAGGGCTGGGCAGAGGGAGGACTTCATGACTTCGTCCAAACCCTTGTGGATTCCTGGGTGCCCCATATACATAGTTGAAGCTTGGTATGAGCTGGCCCCTGCCAACTTCTGCCCTCACCACCCCAGCCTTCCTACCCCTGGTAGTAGTTACCTGTACATGTCTACCACACCTCCGCCTGCCTCCTCAGTCTCTGCAGGGAAAGCCCTTCTCTCCTACTCCCCCCTCCACTGCTGGTCAGTCTCCACTTATTCCTCCTCTGGGAAGCTTTCCTGACCTATCCCACCCCCAGCAAAGCCCCCACTCCCTGCTCCGGGCTCTGTCACCACACTGACCTTCCTGGTTGTCCCGGAGGGCAGGGAGTGGCTCCAAGAGTCCAGGGCTGAGGGCAGGTGTTCAGGAATGTTTGTTGAAGACTGAGTGATGGTCCATGGACAGAAAGACTCCCAGCTTATTATAATATCCCTTACAAGATCCAGAGTTGTAGACATTCAGGACAGGATGGGACACCTCCTGTTTTCCCCTTCTGGGGCTTGAGCCCCTGATATAGTAATTCTGCCTCGTGACTACCTCTGCTTGCATACCTCCAGAGATGGTGAGCTCACTATTTACCAAGTCAGCCACTTCTATCTCTGAACAGCTCAGCTGTCCTGTGACTCACTGGGCCACCCTGCCGAGACTTGAGGCAGAGACCATGTCCTCTGAGGTTCCTCTGACCAGGCTCTGCAGACCAGATTCCAAGAACAGCTCACCAGCCTCCCAGCCACAGCCCAGGCTGATGGGAATGAGACCAGCCACCAACCGTCTCAGGGCCCTGGTAGGTCACCTCTGGAGAGTCAATGCCCCTTCATTGCCAGGACCATCTGGGCTGGGAGTGTGACTGATTCTAGGTCTGGGCTGCTACTGCATTGGGTGATACTGCCAGGTACAGGGGCTTAGTAGGTGATCTTGAAGGTCCCTTCCTACACTGAGTCTCTCAAGGGCTGGCTATGAGTCCAGGCACGAGCTGGTTCAAGGCCCAGCTCTGCCACATTCTTGATGGAAAAGTATAGGTTGGTAACTCCATTAACCTGGGCCGCAGTCTCCCCATCTGTAAAATGGGGACAATAATGCTACCTACTTCACAGGACTGTGTGAAGCTTAAATGAGAAAATGCAAGGAGGCACTCAGCACATGCTGGGTAAATGGGAGCCATTTAATGAAACCTCAACGGTCTCCATGAGGAACGGGCGGGGAAGACAAAACTTATCAAAGCATGGCATGGCAGGCCCGCACATGCTATGAGCCAGCTGGTTGATCTTTCCAACCCTCTGTCTCTGGAAGACAGCCTGGAAACTGAGGAAGCCAATAAGGGGCCCCACCCTCCTCAGAGCTCCCAGCATCCTTTGCAGGTGAGGGCTGGACAAAGAATATTGCCCCAGGAAGCAGGCAAGATAGGTTCCATTGCTGTGTGACCTGGGTTGTGTTCACACCCTCTCTGGACCTCTTTCTCCTCATCTGTAAAATGGAGATTTTTATAGACTCAGGAGAGGAAAAAAAATGAAAAAGCTTTGAATACAGAAAAATGTGCAGAAGGAGAGCCCTATTTCTCCTTCCCCGCTCACCTCCCAGCCATGCCCCTGCCACTCCCCAGCTGCTCAATGCTGACAGACAGGAGACAGGCTTTGGACACGCCTGGGACTGCCCCAGCAGGTGACAGCTGGCAGGGCAGGGGACAGGTGCCAGCCAAGCTCAGCCACAGCAGGAAGCTTGCTTAGCAGACAGACGTGGAGTGGCCCTCACCCCACATGCGGCCATTCCAGTGGCCAGTGGGGTCCAATCAGCCCCAAGTCTCCCTGGTTATGGCCCAGAACATCAGGACCTCTGGGAACACAGGGCCCTCTCCAAGGCGGCTATATCATACACCTCCAGGGAGTTCTGCTCTGATGTATTCTGATGCTGCACCCTGCGCCTATGGTCTCCATGCACAGGACACCACACCGAGGCCAGAGTCGGGGCCTGGTGGGGTCAGCAGAACGGGCCTGGTGCTCCACCACCCTTGTTGGGTCAGGCAATCACAGTAGAGGAAGGAGATGCTATTCAACCAACACTTTAGCTCTCCAATCTAATTTCATAGTCATGACAACCCATTTACAGATGAGTAAACATCTTACGTCAACTAAGTGGCAAAGCCCCAGTTTTGCCTGATTGCAAAGCTGAAGCTAAATCCACTTATCATATCTCACCACTAGCCATCTAATCTCTCCAGATCTATTTTCTAATCTATAAAATGGGCCAAATTCTTACACTTACCTCATAGGCAGATACAGTTCAAATCAATTAGTGAACACAAGAGTGCATTATAAACTGTAAAGCATAGTAATAAAAGTGAAAACTAATGCATGTTCGAACTTTACAGTGTATATACTTCCTCATCTATCATCTCATTTGAGCGTACCGGCAACCCTAGGGAAAAGGTTCTGTCATTCCCAGCTGACAGATGAGGAATCAGACATGGCTGAGAGAGTCTAAGTAACTTGCTCAAGGTCACACAGCTTATAAAAGAAAGGGCAGAGACTGAACTCCTTCTTTGGAATTGGCCTGTGATTTTTCTGCTGTACCTATTGAGGGTGGGGCCCCTGTGAAGACTCATGTCCAGCTACTCATGTAGGGACTACATTTAAGATGTGAGTTCCCCAAGGGCAGAGATTTTGTCTGTTTTATTCACTGTTGCATTGCCAGGACCTTGAATGAGACCCAGCACATAGTAGGTGCTCAATAAATATTGGTTAAATGCATGAAGGAATAAATAGATGATAAATGGGGAAACTAAAGGAGCCCTGATGGTGCAAATGGTTAAGTGCTTGGCTGCTAACCAAAAGGTTGACTGTTCAAACCCACCTAGAAGCTCTATGGGAGAAAGACCTGGAGATCTGCTTCCATAAAGATTACAGCCAAGAAAACCCTATGGGGCAGTTCTACTCTGTCACATGGGGTCAGTGTGTGTTCAAAACAACTTGATGGCACCTAACAAGAACAACAAACTGGGGAAACTGAGGCCTCAAGAAGGGAAATGACCTGCCACAGCCATCAGTCCAAGAGGCCTTTGCCTCTGACTTGAATTTACCCCCAGTCAGGCACCCCCAGAGAGTGAGGTGCCTGAGGCCCGCAATCACGGAGTACCAGCAGAGCTGGCTGGTTCAGCTCCAGGGACAGGAAAGAGCACTGCTAGCACGTGCAGCTGCCCCGACACCCAGCCATCCATTTCTGTATCTAGGACTTGGGCCCAGAGCCTGATGAGCCAGGAGCACTCTGTGGCCTCCGGGGGGGACTTTCTCCCTGGCCCACCCAGCTAGGAATGAGGCAGATGCAGCTGTGGCCTGGACTCTGTTGGGTCAACATGGCTGTGTGTACAGACAACATCCCCATCCTCACCCCGCCACCTCTCCTGGGCCTGGTAAGAGTGTCTGGGGGAGGCAGGGCACTCATGTCAGGCTGGGCAGTGGGGGTGGGAGGAACAGGCTTTGACCCAGAGTGTTCCGAGGCCCAACCTGGTTCCAACTGACCTGTGCGAACAGGTAGCTCACTCTGAGGTCCAGGTTTCTCATCAGAGAAGTGAGCGTTTGGCCAGATAGTCCCCAAGGCCCTGCCTTTCACTCCAATAGTCGATTCAGACCAAGGCCTGACTACCAGACTAAGTGGCATTCATGGGATGTTATATTGTCTCTGACCTCAAGGCTAGCAGGGTGAATAATCAGTTACTTTCTTTAACTCAGAATGCATTTGCCCCTCTAACAAAGCGAGGGAGGACATCCAGGTCCCAGGCCAGCTCACAGAGACCTGGTTATTGCCTCATACTCTGGAGTACAGAGCTTAAAGAGTGGGGGGGTGGGGGGTGGGAGGGGTGGAGTAGGGGTATGGCAGTCAGCTGGCTCCGCCACTTGCTAGCTGTATAAGCCTCACCTTCCTCTCCTGTAAGCAGTAGCAATAATTCTTACCTTGCAGGCCGACAGAAGCACTAGGGATGATGTATACAGGCCACTAGGATGTAGGCTTACTCAATATTTTGTTGAATGAAGAAGCATAAGTGCTGCATAATATATGCATTCACAACAAGGCAAAAAGTGGTGGTGGGGGTGATACTCTTTTCATGTATGAAGCACAGATAAACAGATATACAGTATATCTGTGGTATTAAAATTTCTGGGGGGGGGATGTTAAAAAAAAATGTCTAAGAAGACTCCTTAAACCAAAAAACCCATTGCCATCGAGCTGATTTCGACTCATGGAGATCCCATGTGTTAAAGAAAGAGCTGCTCCATAGGGATTTCTTAGCTGTAATCTTTACAGAAGCAGATCGCCAGGCCTTTCTTCTGTGGCAATGCTGGCTGGGTTCGAATTGCTAACCTTTAGGTTAGTAGTCGAGTGCAATCTGTTTGCGCCACCTGGGGAAAGAAGGCCCCTTGGGGAGGGGAGATGATGAAGAAACGATTGAGAAACACTGTCTTAATGCAAGATTTTGTCCCCCTACCCACTCCTAGCCCCGTGTTTTTTGCACGTGCTTTTCCTCCTCTCTTCATCTTGTCCACTTAGGGAAGTGACATTTACTGCACACCTACTGTATGCCAGGCACTGGGCTAAGCACTACATACACATCACCTCATTTAATTTCCCAAGTGTCCCCTGAGGTAGGGAGAGGTGAAGAGCACAGACTCTGGGGCCAGACTCCCCGGCTTCAAGTCCTGGCTCTGACACACTCTGGGTGTTTTTTGGCAGGTTACTTTCTTTGTCTTGGTGTCTCAGTGTTCTCATCTGTAAATGGAGCTAAAAACAGTAACCAGCCTCTAAGCCATCTGTCATGGATTGAGTTGTGTCCCCCAAAAATATGTCAGCTTGGCTGGGTCATGATTCCCAGTGTTGTATGATTGTGTAATCTGATGTGATTGCCTTATGTGTTGTAAACTCTATCACTATGATGAGGTTATATGTGATCTCCTTATGTGTTGTAAATTCTATCACTGTGATGAGGTTATACTGATGAGGTTTACAAGATTAGATAGTGTCTCAATGCAATCTTTTTTGAGATATAAAAGAGAGAAGTGAGCAGAGACACATGGGAACCTCACGCCACCAAGAAAGCAGTGCTGGGAGCAGAGCGCGTCCTTTGGACCTGAGGTTCCTGCGCAGAGAAGCTCCCAGACCAAAGGAAGATTGATGACAGAGCCGACGGAGAAAGCATTCCCCTGGAGCTGACGCACTGAATTTGGACTTGTAGCCTACTGGACTGTGAGAGAATAAACATCTCTTTGCTAAATCCATCCACTTGTGGTATTTCTGTTGGAGCAGCACTAGATGACTAAGACACCATCGTACATGTTGTTCCCTCTGCCTGGTAACTTCACATTGTCTCTCTTAAAGCCCAGCTCAGCCTTCCCCAGAGAAGCCTTTCCTGGTGATACTTCCAACGCCCAAGTCCTCTGGGCCTTCCTTGACCAGAGTACTTACCTCTGTATTTCTCTTCCCCTTTACTTGTTCCCCCACGGATCTGTGAGCTCCCTGAGGACAGGGATTAAATGAGTTCATATATGAAAAGTCCTTAGAACTGTGCCTGGCATGTGTTAAGTACTATACAAGTATTTCTTATTATTATTGTTATTATTATTATTCTTGTACTATTTCAGATGAAGAAGCTAAGGCTTAGTGGGGTTGCACACCTATTTAAACTCCTACAGCCGGTTAGTGATAGAACCAGGAGGGGATCCCAATGTGTCTGACTCCTGTGCCTGTGCTCTTAACCCCTATACTACTCTGCCCTGTACCATACTAAGCTCAGCTGCAACCTCCTCCAGGAAGCCTCCCTAGATTTCTCCATGCTTCCACAGGACTCTGTTCACCCCTCTCTCACAGCCCTAACTATGCTGGTTTGTCATGCCTCTATCATGGGGCTTTGGACGCCTCCAGGACTGTGCTAATCAGTCTCCACATCCCCAGGGCACTGGGCAAGGCCTGGTCCAGAGGAGGAATCCTGTGAGAGTCTACTGAGCCAGTGCCTGATGGTGTGAGGGGACCCTACCTGCCACCCCCACCCTTTCCCACTGACCTGCAGCTCTCCTTCTCCAAGGTCTCCACAGTGAGGTAGTGCAGGTCTCTGGAGAGGTGGTATGGGTCCCATTGGGTTGGACCCTGGGTGCTGGCCTTGACGGACCACAGCAGGCCAAAGAACAGCAGCAGCCCACCTGCGCTGCAGAAGAAGAAGCTGACCGACCTGAGCAGGGGGCCGGGGGCCTCAGGTGCAGGGTGCCCAGTGGGTGAGGCCAGCTGGCCAGGGTGGGCCCCTGTGTCCCCTTCACTCCACCAAGCGAAGCAGAGCGTACCGACCACCAGAACCATGGTGCCGCTGACCATCATACAATAGCGGAGGGTGGAGGCCACATGGCCCCGGTCACACATCTGGACACAGAGAAGGAGAGAAAAGAGGACATGGGCCATGTGAAAGGCCAGCTAGGTGCTGGAGAACTGGGTTTTAGACCTTCTTTGCCTGAGGTCGCTGTGCAACCTTAGATTGGTCACTTGGCCCCTCTGGGCCTCATTTTCCTCATCTATGAAATGGAGATGATACCCCTGAATTTGCAGGGCTGTTATCTGAATTAGCAAAGAAAAAAATGGACAGAAAAATAAACTGGAAGGAAATCTTGAAGAGTCTTGCGCCTTGCCCTAGGTTGCACAGACAGTAAACGACTGAAACCCAAGTCCATGTTGTTCCCAAAGCCAACCTCTAAGCCATTGTACATGTTGTTCCCTCTGCCTGATAACTTCACATTATCTCTGCTTAAGGCTCAGCTCAGCCTTCCCCAGAAAAGCCTTCCCTGGTGATACTTCCAACTCCCAAGTCCCCTGGGTCTTCCTTGACCACAGTAGGTACCTCTGTGTTTAACTTCTCCTTTACTTGTCCCCGCACGGATCTGTGAGCTCCCTGAGGACAGGGTCCATACTGGCCCTGTTCACTGCTGTATCCCCGGTGCCTAGTACATAGTAGCTGCTCAGTAAACATTTGTTGAATAAATCCTTGCAAGTGAAGAAGGTGTTGCTGGATGTCATGGATGGAATTGTTTCCCCCCAAAGTTTGTGTTGGAATCCTAACCCCTATACTTGTCGATGGAGCCCTGGTGGCTCAGTGGTAAAGAGCTCAGCTGCTAACCAAAAGTTGGGCAGTTCAAATCCACTGACCACTCCTTGGAAACTCTACGGACAGTTCTACTCTGTCCTATAGGGTCGACGGTTCTACTCTGTCCTATAGGGTCGCTATGAGTCGGAATCAACTCGATGGCAGTGGGTGAAACCTGTAGATGCAATCCCATTCAAGAATAGGGTTTTATTTGTTATGTTAATGAGATCATATCAGTGTAGGGTGTGTCTTAAAGCAATCACTTGAGATATAAAAGGAGCAGATTAGGCACAGAAGCAAGGAGGCACAGATGGGGGAAGATAGATGCCATGCCACATGAAGATCGCCAAGGAAATGAAAACAGAAGCTGAAAAGAGACAAGGACATGCCCCCAGAGCCGACAGAAAGAGAAAGCCTTCCCCTAGAGCCTGTGCCCTGAATTTTGACTTCTAGCCTCTTTAACTCTGAGAAAATAAATTTCTGTTTGTTAAAGCTACCCACTTGTGGTATTTCTGTTACAGCAAACTGAAGCCCATTGTGAGGTGATTGAAAATACCATGACGTCTTAGTTAACTAGTGCTGCTATAACAGAAATACTACAAGTGGATGGCTTTAACAAACAGAAGTTTAGTCTCTCACAGTTTAGGAGGCTAGAAGTTCAAATTTAGGGCTCCAGCTCTAGGGAAAGGGCTATTCTCTCTGTCGGCTCTGGGGCAAGGTCCTTGTCTCCTTTCAACATTTGTGGGCCTGATAACCCTTGGATATCTCCACGTGTCTTGGCATCAATCTTCCCCTTGGTCTCGGAGGTTCTCAGTGCAGGGACCCTGAGTTCAAAAGATGTGCTCCACTCCGTTCTTCTTTCTTGATGGTACAGAGGACCCTCTCTCTGCTTACTTCTCTCTCCTTTTATCTCTTGTAAAATAAAAGGTGATTCAGGCCACACCCCAGGGAAATTCCCCTTGCATCAGATCAGGGCTATGGCCTAAGTAAGGGTGTTGCATCCCACCCTAATCCCTTACAACTGATTGGCTGATCACATCAGATCACATCATGGGAAATGATAACATCATTAAATAACTGCCAAATTACATCATTACATAACTGCCAAACCACTGAGAATCACGGCCTAGCCAAGCTGACACATATTTTGGGGGGACACAATTCAATCCATGACACATGACTTGGGTCAGGCACACCTTAGTCATCAAAGTGACATCTTTGCTTTTTAACACTATATGTATTTGTAAATCTTTGGCACAGGCAGTACGTACTCAATTCATAGGCCCTCCTTCCCGGCTCAACTCCTCTTGGCCCTCAGACAAGCCCCTGCAACTACCCTTAGCATGTTCTCCTGCTGCCTAGGTCTCCCTCGCTCTCATGTGGATCCCCTGTGGGGCAGGCAGGGCACGTTAACCCATCCCTGGCTGTAGGGGAGGGGAGGGCATCAGCATCGACTGTATGAAGGAGAGCCTGTAGCCTGTTCTGCTGTTATGCAGCGGTTTTCTTTATTATTTTAGATCCAGGCTCTCACTGATTATCATCAGGTGTCCTGGGCCAAGATCCCCCCTGACCCATTTCAGAGAGGTGGTGTTTAGGCAGTTGACTCACCCTTCACTCCTGTGTGCCTCCTGACTCTGGACCCTGATGGGGGAGAGAAAGGGCTCCCTGCCCTCGAGGGCATAACTCTCCAATCCCAGAGAAGTCCTGCTCCCAATCCTGGCACTCAGGACCTACCAGGCTGCCCCCGCCTGCGCCACCCCTTTCCCCTGCTCCCTCACTGCCCCCCCTTACTCCCCAACTTTCACCACCTGGAAGCCTCTACACCTGCTGCTCCCCCTGCCTGGGGGTCCCTCTGCTCCCATCCTTGATCCTCTTTCTACACCCTGTTCAAACCCCAGCCCAAACACCAGCTCCTCCCAGAAGCCTTTTCTGCTGCTGCCACTCCCCACCTCCAACTCCAGCCAAAAAAAACAAAAACAAAAGACAAACCCAAATCTGTTGCCTGCAAGTTGATTCCGACTCAGAGCGACCCTATAGGACAGAGTAGAACTGCCCCACAGGATTTCCAAGGAGCAGCTGGTGGATTCGAACTGTTGACCTTCTGGTTAGCAGTAGAGCTCTTAACCACTGCGCCACCAGCACTCCACCCAACTCCAGCCAGAGGAGGCCTTTCCCTGCCTTAGAGTCATCACTGCCTATGACTGGCCATTCTTTCTGTTAGCTCTGTGACCTTGGGCAGTCCGCTCAACCTGTCTGAGCTCAAATTCCTCCTTCTCAGGGAGAAGCTAGTGGTGAAGAGCTGCACAGAGGATGGACCTGGCCAGTGGACAAGTTATCCAACCTCTCCATGCCTCAGTTCCCTGGTCTGTAAAATGGGCACCGAAACAAAAAAACCAAACCTGTTGCTGTCAAGTGGATTCCTACTCATAGCGACCCCATAGGACAGAGTAGAACTGCCCCACAGGGTTTTGAAGGAGCGGCTGGTGGATTCAAACTGCTGACTTTTTGGTTAGCAGCCGAGCTCTTAATTGCTGTGCCACCAGGGCTCCAAAGTGGGCACAATAACATCATATTGTCCACAAGAGTGAAAACATATGAAAGCTAGGTATTCTTTTATTGTTATGATTTTTATTTCCACAGCAACACTGAGAACCCACCCCCTCCCCATCCCTCAACCCTCTTGCCCTACCTGCCCACCAGTAGCAGGGCCAGACTGAATCTATTTTCTGCCCCTGGCAAGTGGGCAAGGAGCCCTGGTGGCTGGTTAAACGCTGGACTGCTAACCAAAAGGTTGGCAGTTCGAACCCACCAGCCGCTCCGTGGGAGAAAGATGTGGCCGTCTGCTTTGTAAAGATTTACAGCCTTGGAAACTCTATAGGGCAGTTCTACTCTGTCCTGTAGGGTTCAACTATGAGTGGGAATCAACTCGATGGCAATGGGTTATGGGGGCAAGTGGGCAGTGCCTTCAATAAAAGCCTGCTGGAAGAAAGCCTCTGCCCCTTAAGGGAGCTAAGAGAGCCAGAAGGAGAAAGCCTCACCAGCGCGCGCAGACCCGCACTGACGTGCTTCGGGGAACTGCAGTGCTGTCGCTCCCTCCTCCCACCCCTGGATAACAAGTGAACTTTAAAGAGTGCCAGTTTTTTTTATAATGAACTAAACCGCCTGAACTACAAGTCCAAACCATCCCATCTAACCGGGGAAACTGAAGCCCTGAGCACGCAGCGAATTAGAACACATTAAAGAGGAGATCCTGAGTCCGCACTCTGCCCACCTAGCTACCGTGGTCAAAGTTAAGGGAAGGGGGCTCATGAGGAGCCGGCGTCAGAGAGAGCCGAGGCGCTCGCAAAGGAGGGAGAGAAGGCAGCGACGTACACCCACCTCCGGTGCAGCCATCGCGCGGCAGGCGCTCAGGCGTCGTCCAGCCGCGGGGAGCTCAGCGGGAATAAAGGCATGGTGGTAGTTAAACGCGAGGGCGGCGCGAACCTCGGGGCGGTGGTCCCCCGGGCGGCAGGGAGAGCTCGGCGTCAGGGGCAGGCTCTGGTGGGCGCCCCCCAGCCCTGCTCTCCACGCCCCTTCAAAGCGCTCTGAGGTCCGGCTTCCAGGGATCTCGCCTGCCCGGGACCCAACAGCCGCGTCCGTCCGGTCTCCTACCCAGTGCAGAGGGGCGCGAAGTCCAACTTCACCTGACAGGTTCTGCAACCCACCGCGGGCGCTAACGTGGGGTGCCTGCTGAGAGAAGCTCAGAGCCCGGGTCTCGCCCTCGACTCCCGGGGTGACACCCCCCCGGGCTTGGTCAACTGCAGCCGGGTTCCAGGACTCGGGCTCGAGGGCGCGGTGCGCCCCACCTCTCCTCGGATCTGCGTCCTCGCGGGCCTCTGGGCCCCGCGGAGACGCCCGGGTGACCTCGCTCCAAGTGGCTCCAGGTCGTGCGCCACCGCCCAGCCGATCCCGCCCGTCCTTAAAGCGACAGTGCTCCTGGGGCGGGGGCTAGGGGATAGGTTTGGGTTTTCCAGCACGGGGGGACGGAGGGGCCGATGTTAATGGGAACTTCCCTGGAACTGTTCCGGAACGATCTGCCTTCTGCGTTCTTCCAGCCCCACAACCCCACTAGGGTTGACGGGCTGGGGGAGACAAATTCCTCTGAGAGCCATCTACATTCAGCTCGAAAGAATCCTAGGAGTCCTGAGCTCATTCCTCCTCACTCTCATTTGACAGAAAGGGAAACTGAGGCCCAAAGAAGGGAAAGTCACTTGCCTAATAAGAGTTTACAGCATATTCAGTTGACATAACTAGA